GGCCGCCCCGCCGCTGCGCGCCCTCGCGTCCAGCTCCCTCTCCCGCGCCTCGAGCTCAGCGGCCCGCTGATTCAGCGCGGCCCTCTCGGCGCGGGCACCTTCTAGATTACGGCGCGCCTTCTCCTCCCACACTGCCTCGCGGAGGGACAGGCTGTCCGCCAGCCGTTGCGCCGCGGCCTCGGCCTCCTCGAGAGCTCGCTCCCGCTCGGTGAGCGCGTCCTCGCGGAGGCGGAGCGCGGACTCCTCTTCGGCGCAGGCGGCCTCGTGCGCAGTCAGCGTTGCCTCCCGGATGGCAACGGCGGCCTCGCGATCCGCCAGGTCCCTCTCCACGGCACAGGCACGCTCTTCCAGCGCCATGGCACGGGCCTCAAGGGCTTCTTCGCGCCGCCGGGATGCCACCTCGGTCTCCGCCGCCCGCCGTTCTCGGGCAGCGGCAGCGTCAAGGACCCCCTGGGCGGCGTCGAGCTTCTTCCCTAGCTCCGCCTCCCAGCTCCCGTATTGAAGGCGGAGGGTGTCCTGCGCCTCGTTCATCACGATGGTGGCGATGAGGGCAGCCCCCCGCTCCTCCTCCACCTCCTTGGCGATCTCCCCCAGCACCTTCTGACGGGCTTCGAGCTCTGAGACGTGCCGGCGGTGTGCCTTGCGGCCCACCTCCACCATGGCCTCCACCGAGCGTCGCCCCTCTTCGACACGTGCCCATGCGGCGTCGAGCTCCGCCTGCTCTGCTTGCAGGGCCTCCACCTGGGCACTTAACCCGTCCAACACCGTGGTGTTTGCGACGGCCAAGGCCTGCAGAAGGGGTTCTGCGCTCAGTGGAGCAACGGAAGGCGTGGGGAAGAGCCGCCTCGAAGAGGATGCCGCGCGGCTTAGCCGGCCGATGGACGTGCCGGACTCGGGGATGTCCCCCGGACCTGGTTTGTCCTGAGCGTCGCACGAGGGAGTGGGCCCAAGCGATGCACCCGCGGCCTCGCCGCGAGTTGCCTCGGAAGTCGTTGTCGCCTCGGCCTGGCGAAGTCTAGCCTCCTCCCGAGCGGCTTCTTCAGTTTGGCGAGCTCGGACGGCCACCTAGGCAGCTTCCTCGGCTTCTCGAAGGCGATCCACGGCCTCTTGCCGGTCAGTTTCACGGGTCGCCTCGGAGGATGTCGTCGCCTCGGCCTGGCGGAGTCCGGCCTCCTCCCGAGCGACTTCCTCGGTCTGGCAAGCCCGGGAGGCCTCCCGAGCGGCCTCCTCGGCTTCCCGAAGACGATCCGCGGCTTCTCGCCGGTCAGATTCCCGCCTCCGGGCCTCTGTGGTCGCCGGGTCCTCGGCCTCAGACTGGCCGGACTTGGAATGGCGGGAGGGACGCGACGGGATCTCGCTGAAGCAGAAGAAAAGCCAGAAGACAAACAAGATGAGTGAATGAAAACTTGTGTTGGAAGAATGAATACAGCCACAATGGGCGTGGGACGAACCTGCGAGGGGGTCGGTTAAACGACCACCTTGGAGGGGAAATGAGGTTTCCCCGGGATGGTTCTGTCCCCCCCATCTTGCGGAGCCGTTTCTTCTTCCGCTCCCCCTCGGGCTGCGGCGTCGGCGCGGCCCCCTCCGGGCGCCTGCTGCTGACACGCGCCGCCCCGCCCCCTCGGGGAGGAGATGGGGAGGAAGTACCCTCTTGCTTTCTCTTCCCTCGGGCGTCGGCAGGGCGGCTGCCCCCCGAGCCCCCATCACGGGGCCCAGAAGCACGACCCCCTCCCGGGGTAGATTGTTCCCCCCTGCGGCTCCCGCCCGAGCCATCGTGGCCTCGAGGAGCCCGCTCCTCCGACGCCCCGACCGCCTGCATGATGGTCAGGATGTTGGCGCGATCTGGATCGCTGCAGAGGGGGAGGACTCCTTGGGGGATGAGGGATGCCTCCGCGGAGCTGAGATTCAGCACCCGTTGGATCATTACCTTGAAGTCTTCGGGGACCCAGTCCCATTTGACCCCCCCGGTGGATCCTCATACAGTCCTCGGACCCGGTGTACTCCCAGGCACCCCGGGCGCGCCGTTGGAGTGGCGCGATCCGGCGACGAAGATAGTCGCCGTACACCATGGCCCCTGTGAGCCCCAGGGATCGCAGGCCCGCCAGGCGGTCGAGGACGGCGTCATAGCCATCTCCCAGATCTACCGGCGCCCGCCAGCTGGAGGCCTGCGCCGGGGGCTGGCTCAGAAGTCGGAGGCGCGCTTCGTCGGCGAGGGGGGTGTAGAACCAGTCGCTCTTCCAGTCATCCCACTTCTTGCGGAGGATGCAGGGAATGTAGCGGATCAACACCGGCCCCCGCGGCTGGAAGTAGCAGCCACCAACCACCGACGGCGGCGACACCGACTGTACGGTGAAGAACCACCGGAACAGCCGAAGGGATGGGCGCACCCCGATGAACATCTCGCACAGGTGCGCGAAGATGGCCAATGTCATTACCGCGTTGGGGGTGAGGTGCGCCATCTGGAGATCGTAAAACTCCAGAACATCCATGAAGAAAGAAGAAAATGGCGGAACCAGCCCTGCCATTGCAAAAGGGAGGAAGAAGACGGACCGCCCCGGGTAGCATGGCGCCGGGCGTCCCTCACCCAGCGTAACTATCTCCCGGCCGGTGGCAGATTCCGGCATGAAGCGGCGCGGCAGCCCGGCCTGCCTCTCGCTCACGATGCGGGAAGGCGGCAGCACGCTACCATCAAGCAAAGCGGAGCCCCGTGCCATGACGCCGGAGGAAGAGATGTTTAAGAGCAAGCGCGTGTGGCGAAGGTAGGGCACAGGAAACAAGGAGTTAGGGCGCAAGCGGCGAAGACAAGGGGAATAATGGCGAGAGGAAGGAAGCAAATCTCTTTCTCGGCGACTTTATACCCTTGCCAACGCTGTGCCCGGCTCCTCATTTCTCGCGCCCACTATCTTGCCCCCTCGTTTCTCGCGCCCACGCTTCCACTAATCCCATTCGCCCGTTTGCGGTGCATGAGGTGGATATGCGGCTGTGGCAGTCGAGATGGAACATCTCGTGCGCGCGTTAATTACGCTCGCCAACCAAAGCGCCATCACCATATCTCCAGGAAAAACGAACCGGCTTGTCCCGATTTTTAGACCGGCCCCACCATGTCACCAGGCCTTAGGAAGTGGCGTCACGCCCGACCGCTTCCCTCGAGGAGGGCGATCGCCCTGGCATAACGCCGGGGGCTACTGTCGGTGACATGGGACCGGGAGTATCATGACTTAGAGACTTGAGACAGACACGATCACCCACGTGGCCTAACCCCCTCGGGGGGAGTCGGGCCCGAGGATGATACGACCGCCCTTCTCTTTGTCTCCCCGAGGGGTCGGACCGCTCCCGTCTCGGCCCCGAGGGCCGAGGCGCCCCGACCCCTTGTGGGTTTTGCGCCGCGTATATGGGGTAGGTGAGCATAGCGGGGCTCACCTAACCACATTTATTGCGGTTTGGACGAGCGCGTCACGCCGCATGTAACGCAGTGCAGCGCGCTCGTTTATCCGGTCTGTGACCAGTCACAGACCGATCAGATCGTGGGTTAGGTGGCGACAGGCGGTCTGACGCACGCCTCGCCCCATCCCATCAGGATGAGAGCCTCCAAGCACTCGTCCCTAGCCGGAGCCGGCGTGTTAGCTCCTGGAGATGGCACGTTGGTCCCGGTCAGATATATACCAGGCTTCATCCTAACCATTACAAGCAAGACATTGTATGAAGAGGGGCAAACATGCAGATTGATAAACTGACGCGTGGTGGACAAGAATGACCGATTTGTGACCGGTCTGACACTGATCATGTCGTCAGCAGACAGCCATGTTCCCACGTCGCGCCTGCTTCCGGCGGAAGTGGAGGTAGGTATGGGCTGTCCCATCAGAAGGTCATTCGGACGGCAACCATACAAGTCTCCGTCTGTTTATGAAAAGATAGGATAAGTCCCCACAAAAAAGAGAGAGATGGGGCATGTGGTATCCCCTTGAGGTATAAAAGGAGGACCTTGCCCACTTAGAAGGGGGATGGATTTTCGGAGCCAGAACGATCAGAGAGGGAGAGAGTAAGAGCTCTCTGGTTCTCCAGCTCTTTTGTAGCTTCTTCATACATAGATCCACAAAAACACGGGAGTAGGGTATTACGCTTCTCAGCGGCCCGAACCTGTATACATCGCCCGTGTCTTGTGTGTTTCCATTCTCGCGAACCTTCCACACACAGACTAGGAGCTTAGAATCTCACCCAGGGCCCCCGGCCGAACCGGCAAAGGGGGGCCTGCGCGGTCTCCCGGTGAGGAGCCCCACGCTCCGTCATACTCCATTCCAAATCGATCTACATATAGTTTTGTTGAGGTTATTCCTAAATGATCTACATATTTGTGTTCATTTATTAGAGTCTATTCGTTATTTGTGTATTGGAGTAAATAGACAATGATGCATGCATCCATGCACACAAGTATTTATAACCCACATGTAATATCTTGATTTGCTATTGGCTAGGAAATATTACGGATGGTGCATGCATTGAGTTTGTTGCTAGAGTAAATATAGTATGAAAAAGTTATTAGCTTTTCTTGGTCTTGGTGTACCTGTGAAATATGTATGTAGATCAATTTAAAATGGAGGGAGTATTCATGATTTATATTCCCAAGGTTTGACTTAAACATTGTCCTAAACAACTTTCTTTACGAGTACGGAGGAAGTATGCTAGTCATTCCTCGTAAACAAGCGATTCATTAATATTTACATTTCTCGATACACATATAGCCAATATAATGTGGAAGAATGAAAAATCACGCATTAAATCCAAGAAAGCCATTAAGATGATAAGTTGTTGGAATGAAATATGCCTATCAAAAAATAAATTTCAGATTTAAAAATATGACTATTAAAAGTAGATAAGTAGATGGAGGGAGTAGAATTTATTCTGGCCTACGTCGTTTTCTTCTGATAGAAATCTACCTACGATCTGTTGTTCCTTCTGAAGAAAACAGAACTCGTTTTTGAGCTTCAGAACTCGTTTTTCAGTGACGTGGAAACAGCAATCACTCAGCATGTGTTCAAGAACAATGTGGGTTTGACAATGCCACCAGACAGGTCCTCCATCCCATCCCAGTAGACATTTCTTAGCTTCACTGATCATGAGTCTTACATGAGGAATACAAGAGTGCAGGGGAAAAAAGCACACCAATTCATCCATCAAAGCTTGTCTCAGCAATGAGATCGTCTAACGATCAATTGTGATGGATAATAATTATCCATCACAATTAGCAAAAGCCAGTAAGCAATTCACTATCAGCAAACATCCAGTATGGTCAGTCCTGCTCCAAAGGAACATAGCTTCTGGGTGAACATCTTCGGCTTCTTGCAAAGCCACATTCGTCTTGGCTTCTTGCACAGCCGCAAAACACCTCATAGCCTTTTCCTTCTCCCAACTTCCAAAAAGTATTAAGTGCTGATCTTGCAGCTTTTCTCTCCAATTTCTTCAAAAGAAACCTTGAACTGCCTACACACTTGATCACCATCTCTTTAAGGTATATATATGGATGCCTTTGTTGGCATGGGGAATAAACCAGTTGATTTGTTGAGCTGAGACTTATCACCTATGAGTCTGACAACAAAAACGAGCAGAAACCACTTCCAGATACCATTCATAGGCGTTGCACAGCCATCTCCACAGAGATAGGACATGGACATTAGTAGGGCTATGTACAGTGGTATATACAACTTACTGCGCAGAATGCTAAATTTCAAAACCTCCATTCAATTGAACGGATAAAGATGGCCTTCCAATGTTATTAAGGGGTGTTTCCAAGGTAACGACCACTCCGGAACTGCCCATTTGACCATTCCACTTGGATCTCCCAATCTGTCATTTAAAAGTTCAGTTAGAGCCAAGCAACTCAATAGAACCAAGCAGAGGCTTTGCTTCGATAAGAACTTACAGACAGAGCAGTAAAGGCTGATGGATGTCTTGAGCAAGACAAACCGCACATTACATTCAATTCCTCTTTCAATGAATGGATAACCTCTGCACGTACCCCAGGATCATTTCCTCCAAATGTAGGGCATAAACTGTTCAATAAAATACCATTAACATGAGTGTTTAAAAAAGGGAAAATCAAGGATAGAGAACTAAAAAAAGGGTGCTTGCTATAGGACTCAACAAATGATCACTAGCAATCAATACAATATACTGGCAAGCACAAGAACTACTATTTTACATGGTAATAAAAAGAGCGAGCAACGGCAAAGAAGCATCAACTCTGCAATAGGTCAAAACAATAACATCTATCGAGGCTAGTCATTTAACAAATTCAACCAAAATAGATGCATGCCATTAGCATGATACCAAGGCTAAAATTGTAGAGATAATGCAAAGTAATTACTGTTTGTTTTCTGTTCAACGGCTCAAAAGTGGTAAATTATGGTACAAAAAAAAGTGATTGGAATTGCTTGAGTGTTCTAAGTAAACTACCTGACTTGCACACTGGGCCTCACCATGAGACCAGATCTTTTCCATGCTAAGGCTTGAGTAACTCCAAATGACAGAGACTTGTCAGGCCATTGAAACATAGGAGTGAACCTGGTGCCTTGCTTATTCTTTAAGAAAAAAAAAAGAGTTACCACAGGTGAAAGACCACTTTACCAATATAGAACGAACACAGCAGAAGAGAGCTAAAACAGATCAGTGCTGGTTATGCAGTAAAAAGAAAAGATGATGGTACACTGATCATATAGAAGTTGTCATAGTAATAAATAATAACACAAATAACAGAAAATAGCCATGTTTGTGAAAGCAAGTGTGCACACTTCCTAATTCATGAAATGAACTCATAAACAATGAGAAACATCTGAGCGTGCAGAGTGTTCCAACCAAAAGGTTGTGATACTATCAATAAACATAACATATTTCTGATCAGAAGCCGATTAACAATGATGTGAAGTTTAAAAGTAGTCATTGCTTAAATCATACCGTTACTCCACACTGCATTAGAATTTTTTTTCTAAGAAAAAGCAGGGGCACTGCAGCTTTGCAGGAGCAGCTCACAATTTTCAGAGATCACAATTAACTAATTTATGAGAAAATGATAAATAGGGAGCATGCTAACCTTGCAAGAGAAGCTGACTCTAGTTTCTCCAGGGTATTTCCCATGAGCTTGAAGCAACCCACCAAATAATGGAAGAAAACCACTTGCTGTAATCCCCTCGCCAGCAACATATGTTAGTTGTCCATTGGGGAACTGCAGGTCCATGAAGGACTGTAACAAATAACCATGTTACTCTGTTAGATAGTATCAATATTCCAGTTTCAAATACAAAAAACAATGGTGGGAGGTTATATTAAACAGATCTAGCAGATTGCCAAGAAGATAATGCATGCTTAAGCATGAAGCAGAAGCTGACTAAACAGACTTCACACACAAACTATCAACATAAAAAAGAAGCACGGTCTTCAATTGCACAACAGAATGCAACAAAAGAAACTTAAAGGTCAGTAAATCTTGGGTGCTTTTAGAGTTATTCATGTAGGTTGGTGATTACTGGTAAACTCATTATAACCAGTAACGAGATATGAGATAATGTGAACACTATAATGCAGAATTCAACCAAAAGATAGTCATACTTACACAAGCTACTGGATTGAGGCAAACCATTGACATCATCAACCATTTCCGATGTTTTGACCAAAAAGCAGGGCAGAGAGAATGGACTCCATTCTGTAATAATATCATTCTTAGTGAGAAATTTACTAACTACAAGAAAATAATAAAAGAAAGAGAACACAGAAGGATAAAGCATTATAACGGCTCATAGGGAAAATCAGTATGTGTAAAGAAACAGAAAGATATGAGTACCTTGCGATCATAACCATACCAAAGCAGATGTTGCTTCGATAGATGAACAGGCAAAAGGAGTGTAGAGTCTCGGACAAAAAGTAACGGTCCCAACTGAACAAGGTATAGAGGTGAGCTATCGTTTCCGGAAGTTGAACTGCTGCGTGATGCCTCCAGCCTCCAAAGGTCTCCACGTGCAACAACAGAACTCTCAATGTCGTGGTTCCTGGTATTGTATGAAGCCGAGACATTTACTGTACCCTGAAGACCAACAGAAGAGCTAAGTACTATGTTGAGTAATTCAGGTATAGGGTTGCAACACCTCACACTAGAAGTCTAGCTGAGATAATCATAACTCGCAGAAGAATTAACACACCTATTTCTTCATACTTGTGAAGTTTAATTTCAGTACTTACTGACAACTGTAAGTCCGATCAGTCAAAAGAACACTTTAATACTAAAAGTATCACTAAACTGCAGTTACAAGTTATGTATTCAATTCATAAATTACATGTAAAATCATCCATTTACCATGCGCACTGCCAACAAGACATCACAACTTAGTTACCAAACACCTCCAAGCATCACTGATTTAAATTAATTCGTCACAGATGCGTGACCATTTGCCTATATTTGTTCTAATAATAAACATAACATTTTAGTAAATGAAACACCTAAATTAGATTGAACATCGAGACAAATCACACCCTTCCTATAAGGATATTTGAATAATTAATTTCAGTTCTGACGGTAGACAATCCTAAACTATGGCTGCGCACTAAATTGAGATGCAAATTACACTAAAAGCCAGCATCCATGCTAAAAATTCGAATTGGATCGTACCTTAGACTTCTTAAAGTTTCCAAAAGTACCAATCTCGCAGCCGAATCCCTCATCTTCCTCATCTACGTCATCTCCGCCCACAGCACCACTGACCGTGGACGCTGCAGCGCTACCGGTTGCGGCAGCGGCGGCCGCCGCAGCTGCCTCTAGAGGGCACCTGTCGACAGCCCTCTCTACCGAGAGCCCCACCGCCGCCTCACCCACCGCAGCCGCGGGCGAGGGCGCCTGAGGCTGCGGCGGCAGCTTGCGGCGCCGGATCTGGCCGTTCCGGAACGGCAGGGGCAGCTGGCGCACGGCGTGCTGCACGGCGCCACCGACGGACGCCCCAATCTCCACGCCAGCCTGGCCGAGCCTCCCGCCGATGTCGATGACGGAGGCGACGGCCGCGGCGGGGAAGAACTCCTTCCCGGCCCGGGCACCGCGGGAGGCGCCGAAGGGGACCACGGGGAGGTCGATCTCGAAGGGAATCCGCTTGTGCGACGCCGCCGGCCACGGGAACTGCGGCGGCTGCGCCTGGAGCAGGCCGGTGAACCCCTGCGCGAGGCGGTCCGCGATGTCCTGGCCGTGCCGCTGCACGCCCTCCCACGCCTCGAACGAGATCTCCATGCCACGGATCCGACGACCAACCCTCTGTTCCGCCTAGCTCGTTGCCGCTCCTCCGCAGATTGGAACCCAATCAAACCGAATCGAACCGAATCGGACAGGTGCAGAAGGAGGAGGAGGAGGAGGAAGCAATTGGGGAAAGGAGAGGAGAGAAGAGGAGAGGAAGGAGAAGGGGGCGCGATGACGTGTGTGATATAATAATAATGGTAGAGGATTGGTGAGGTTGGGGATAATGGCTTGACCGGGTCGACGTGGATCGACGCGGGCAAAGGAGATCGGGCGCACCGCTTCCGCCGCGTGGCGTGCGTGCCCCACCCTTCCGCGCCGCTCCGGCTCACCGCGGCGGAAGAAGAGGGAAATGGTCCAATGGATAAGAACGCGCACGCCCCCGTGTCCGTGCGGATGAGGGTGTGTGTGCTCGCGGTGACGGAAGCCGCGGCCGCCCCCCGCCCTGGGCCCGATCGGATTCACGAGAGCACCAAACGACCGTGGCCTTGGCGCTATCCGCCGCCTGATTCCGCGCGTGCGCTCGTGGACACCGGATGCGATTGGGTTTTCCTCCTCCCGGGCGGCTCACTTCGCTTCGTTTCGTCTCAGGATTCCAGCGAGGTATAGGCATAGCACCGTGCCGTGCTGCCGCTCGCGGTTCGCGATCCCGGATTGGGTAAAATTGTTACTGTTTCCCACGTTGTCCACGCGAATATTCCGTGTACTGCTAGTACTATGATGTTGCTGGTACAGAATTAGGAGAGGAACAGCGTAGCGCTCCATCGAGTTTTATGTCTCCCGTTTTCCATCGTTGTCACCTGTCCTATGAGACATAAAACTCATCGAGATAATTAGCTAATCGCGTCTCTTGACGAAAATAGAGCAGGTTTAATTAACTAGGGGGAGCGACAATGCAACAGTTAACATATCATTATCGTTTTTCGCTTCGAAAGGAACGCGGCACGAGTTGATCCATCAACAAGCCTCGTCTGTGTTGTTGTGGCGTTGCTTTTACGGTGGCCGAGGATTTGAAGCTATCTGGAGCTTTGCAATTTAAGCAAAAGTGATATTGATCTTACTAGTACTCAGCTAGTAGCACGTGCCGTTGGACGAACACTGTTTTGCTATCGCGACGTGCTACACTCTTCGGCGTCGTGGATTTTTTTCCCCCGCAGCTGTTGGGTCAATAGTCGTTCCGGATGAAAAGAGACGCCGATCGACATCTGTAGGATTTTTAAAATTCAATCTGACGTTGACAAGTTTGGTATTTTGGTGGCTCGTAGAGACAACTGAACTCAATTGAAAGCGAACACCTAACACAAAAAGGAAAAATAAAAATCTAAAGAAAAACACGTCAGTGACGATAATGCTACCGAACATATCGCAACTTAAAAGTTCGATTCCTCATCTCACAACAGGAGTGGCGTGCACTGCAGGCTATGCAAATTCAACCGCCCTGTTGAGAAGCATCTGTGAGAGAATCGTGACAAGTTAATTCCGAGAACACAGTTTTGACTGATTACAGAATGGTGTTCCATGCATGCATGCTTCCATACGGGCATACGGCAAAGTAAACTAGCAGCTGGCAGAATTTTTTTATGTTATGCTTCCATGCGGGCACCGTCAGTCTGCATGAATGCAGCTTACGACTCGTAACAATAATTGAAGAAAGGCAACTTGGACCTGAAAAATAATTGGAGATAGTTTACCTGATGTCGACGTGAAAATCCATCAAAAAGAAACGTAAAATTTATCTCGAGAGGCCTCTTGATTTTGTCTTATCACGCGACACATCTAGGACCGTCCGATCCCACACGCTGGTGTAGTCGTCTATTCCACATGTCGATATTGCCGAGAAGGCCAGAACAGACTGAATCGGAAGCTACGTGACACACCCTGTTACGCTAGAGAGAGAGAGTAGTTTATCCCTATGTTTCAAGCAAATAGGAACCACCTATACTTCAAATTATAATTTTCTCTTAAACTACTTATCCGATCTATGATCCGATTGCGCCGTTGTGTTCGTAACAATTAAATCTTTACTACAAGATCTCACATGATTATACTTTGATGAAAAATTATAAATTACTTTTATAATATATCTAAATTACTTTTAGATTTCACTAAATTACTTCTTAGACATATAAAAGTAAATTTAGTAAAGTCTAAAAGTAATTTACATAAATTATAAAAGTAACTTAAAACAAAAAGAAAGTAACTTTATCACGACATCAAAAGTAAATCCGTTATAGAGGTAAAAACATGAATCTATATAGAAATTAAATTTAATCAGCACAAATTGCGTCACTGACTAAAAATGATTATAAAATAAACAACTCATAATACTGTCAGGGTTATGGATACCACATACCTAATAGTAGTTGACTAAATCTCGGCAGGACCCACCACATACTATGTCTTATACGGAAACTGACTTCGGATATGGAGGGAGTTCCGGATAAGGAAATACAACCAGAGTTCAATATGGAAACGACAAGGACTACTCGGATTGTATTCATATTGGTTTCCCTAGTTCTACTTGAACAAGGGGACACCTATGGGTATAAATACAAGGCCCCCTAGAAGGAGAGGGGACGCAGACAATCAACATAGATGCCACAAGCCAATACAAGCCAACATACGCCAAGACAAGACGCCGGATATCGACTTAAGGGATAGGCACGGCTAGTCCCCTACAGTGTCTCCGGATACTGATAGGAGAGACATTGCACTATCTCTAATCTCGCCGGGCACGAACTCGAGGAGGAAGACTACCCTGTTATTGACTACGAGTCAGATCTTCAGACCGCCATGTCGACAACAGTTAGATAGGCTACCCCAAATATTGTACTGGTGTGATTATGATGAATAAGAGCAATACCGGCTTCGGCCAATAGGATGTAGGGTTATTACCTAACAACTCAGGGGCCTGAACCTGTATAAAAATCCTCGTCTCCGTCTCTTTTACCTCAGTCTCGCGTATACCCTAGTACCAACGATCCCCATATCATGTAAATACCGAAACCGCGACATCAAACGTCGACAAATATTATGAATAACATTATGAATGTATAGATTTCTTTTAATGCCGTAACAAGTTACTTTACTTTTGTTTTAAGTTACTTCTATAATATTGGTAAATTACTTTCAGGCTTTATTAAATTACTTTTATGACTAAGAAGTAATTTAATGAAATCTAAAAGTATTTTAGATATATTATGAAAGTAATTTGTATTTTTCATAAAAATATAGTCATGTGAGATCTTGTTATAAAGATCTAATTGTTATGAACACAATGGTGTAATCGGATCGTAAATCGGATGAATAATCTAAGAGAAAATACTATAAGAAGAAAAAAATACATGCACTTTTGAGTATACTAGTAGCAAATAGATATAAAATTGAGGTAGCTGGTTACGACGATACAGACAACGGCAAAAATACAGCCGCCCCGAAGGAACAAGTTGTGCAGCCCAGATTATGGTTGTCGATGGAGCAGTCAAACGCGAGCCAATGTCGCTGTCCTTCCAGAATACGCAAGACCGACCAGTGAGGATATATCTGCATCTCTCGCGCTTATCTGATGACAAGCCATCAACTGAAAATCCAGTAAGCTACTGCTAATGTCTACCAGTACAATCACAGGTGATGCATGAGAAACGGAGAATCTGGGGAAGTTCCGTGAATTTGTGATGTGTTATTGCGGATAGTAAGAAAGAGAGGAAAAGAAAACAACTTGTGATTGATTGGGTGGAAGCTCCTTGGCAGAGGAACAGAAGGAAAATATAACCACACACTGTATTTAGATTTTTCAACGGGCCCACTCACTCTTCTGAAAATTCTATGGTACCCCGACCACGGTTTACCAAGCTGATACCGTGCCAAAAAAAATGGGGGTCAACGGTTTTCCAGTTTTTCTGAAACCATTTTAAAACCGTCAATTCACAGTAAAATCCACATTTTTTTGAAAAATAAATAAATTCAGTTTAACTTTTTTTAACCTGACGAAAAAAATTAGTGGTTTTATTATCGGGCTGGTTTGGAAAGTTCAATTTTTTTACTACTACCCGGCTACTCCATTTATCTTGCTTGCCCAGGCGCCCGGCAAATAATCAAACCATCCGAGATGGTTGCTTCCGTTCCGTTGTTTGGGCTGCTTTTGCTTTATTTTCTATATTTTTTTAGATAATGGAATATAATATCTCGGCCTTTGCTCAAAAAGAACTACAGCCAATTATTACAGAGATCTACTCCAGAAGAGAGTATAGTTAAGACAAGTTGAACACACCAAACAAGAGAAGAGATGACCCAAACTGAGAAAAACAAAACAAAATGTGGAGCTAGAAGGCCTCGTCCAGACCTAGGACTGAAGTTCGAAGCCAATGCATAGACCAATGACAATATCCTTGCACGAAGAGATTTTTCCAAAGCGGTGCCCCCAAGGAGGATGTGACGTGGATCGCCGCCACCGCTCGTTCGGAACCGAAGCAAGGTTTTCACCCGGAGAATATGGTAGGGAAAGGAAAGGGGTATGCTAAAACAACGCCTCCAAGGAGGGGAATGACGCCATCAGCTGGCCAAATGGCTCAGCAAGGCTTTCGCCCGCGATTCCCTGTCCAAACCCACACCACCAATCCACACAAGAAGGATCGTCGTCGGTTAACAACATTGTCCCTTCAGCGATTCGGCCAAGGCCACCGCCCACAATTGTTCCCGCCGTCGACGGCGCGCCCGCACCCAGACTCCTCCTTCCCCGCCTCTAGACCCCTTCCCCGCCTCCACATACCGCCGCCGACGATGACGCACCGTCAGCCGGATGATGGCCTTCAACCATCGCCGCCCTAGGTACCATCGTCGACAGCCGCCACCGCCACTACCACAGCCACCACCGTCGCCAGCCACCACCGTCAGCCACCATCGCCACCGCCACCGCCACCGCCACGGACACCCCCATCCAGCCACCACCGTCCAGCCGCCATTGTCAGCCGCCACTGTCGCTAGCCAGCGCCGGCAGACGCCAGCCGTCCAGATCCAACCGGGGTGGCACGGATCGGAGGTGCAGCGCGAAGCACGGGTCGCCGGCATCATGGAGGAAGGCGTCACGGGCACGGCGTTCACAGCCGGAGCATTGACGAGGGCGCCGCGCCTCCCTCGTGGCGGCGAGGTTCTTGACGAGGGCCGGCGTCGCGGCACGCGCCGCAGTCCGCCGCCGTCGTCGCCAACTTCGTCGCCGCTACATCCGCCACCATCGCCGCCGCTAGCCACCCCCCTGCCAGGTCCACGGAGCGGCGGCGGTGTCGACCGAGCCCATCGCCGGTCACCCCGGCCAAGCGAGGAGACCAGATCTGGCGACGCCGTCGCCCGTCGCTGGAGCCGTGGA